TGCGATGAAATGGGCCAAATAATTAATTTTGTCGTATTTTCTGGTCGCTCTAGAGCCTGCAATTATGGCCCAATACATGCCTGTTTTGATAAAGATAGGTCAATATTTAGCAGGTTAAACGGACCCTTACTTTTGTGTGAAAAATTACAACATTTTCATACCCTTCACCACACTGTGGTACAGGGTATTATGTCTTTGTGCATATGTTTGTAACAGGCAAAAGGAATCGAGATATACCCATGCTTTCTTTTGAGAATATGCATAGAATCTCTTTCTGAGTCGATTTACGCATGTCCGTCTGTCCGTCCGTCCATGTATTTTTGTGAACAAAGTACAGGTCGCATTTGTGATCCGATTTGGATGAAATTTGGCACAGTTCACTTAATTGGCCCAAAGACGAACCCTATTGAAATTGGAGAAAATCGGTTCAGATTTAGATATATATAGTTCCGTCCGATTTTATGTGAATGATGCACCAAACTTCCAATACATCATTCGATTTGCAGGAAATTTGGCATAGGGTACTGAATTGATGTGTGTTAAGGGCCCCATACACTATACATCCTGCCGTACAGAATTTATCATAGTATGTGTTATTTTTTGAAAGTTTATTTATGTATGTGTGACACACACAATGCATGAAGAAAATCAAAATAGTTTTGATTTTGAATATGAAACCCTATCAATCTGGTGAATAATATTCATTTTGAAAGTTGTCAGTAAATATTTTGTATAGAAAAATAATAAAATTATGACGGAATAAAAAAAACAACTGAATTTACGACTCAAAATTGGTCTGTTCCAGTACTTTTTAATGGTAAAGCTAGTAAAAGGGAAACATTTCAAAATTGCTCTCAGAGTAAAAAATAATTTCAAAAGTTCTGGAACGAAAATCTTAAATATGGCAAAATTAGATGGCAATACTTCAAAATCAACATAACAGCCAATCAGAAGTTGGCAATCCTGTTTACTATTTTTACTCGTCCAAGCTTCTCGAGTAAAAAGTTTACAAAGAGAACGCCATTATGTTTTGTGTTCTCTTAAATTTGGTTCAATGTTTTACCAGTTTTGTGGGTTCAGGAACCGTTTTCGAGTAAAAAGGTGCAAAACTTGTAAAAATAGTAGATTCTGTCAGGTTCTGGAACGAAACTAATATATTTTTGGGACAAAAATCGATTTTTTGAATAGTGATTGAAGAGTTTGCCATACACTAGTCAATCTCACATATACATAAAGGGGTTCATCGGCATGACGGCATGATTTATAGTGTATGGGGCCCTTTAAATTTCATTAAAATCGGTTCAGATTAAGATAAAGCTCCCATATTCGTCAGTTTTTTTGTGAATGATGCACCAAACTCCCAGTATTTGTCGTTTGGACAAAATTTTGCACAGGGTGCTGAATTAGTTCCGACTGATGTCTGCGAAGTTTCATTAAAATCGGTTCAGATTTAGACATAGCTCCAATATATAGTTTCGTCCGATTTCTGTGACTGATACACCAAACTCTCAATATTTGTCCGATTGGCACAAAATTTTGCACAGAGTACTGAATTAGGTACAGACTGATGTCTGATTTTTTGTTAAAATCGGTTCAATATATAGTTTCGTCCGATTTTTGTGAATGATACACCAAACTCCCAATATTTGTCCGATTGAGCAAAATTGTGCATAGTAAATGCAATTGAGGAAAAAATTATGTGTCATAAGGATTGTTGAAATCGGTTCAGATTTTGAGGTCCATGTGTTTATATGTAGCTGCCATTTATAATTTTAATTTTTAATTTACAGTTGAAGCAAGAACGTTGACTTAAAGATAACATAACTTTCTTCGGCTTAAGTCTAGTTTAGGGGCTCCACCCGGATCGCTTTGAAATTTTTACCGTAAGTAGTCCTCGTTGTGCTGATTACAGTGATATATATTTTATGTGGGGGAAATGCATACTTCCCGAGGTATGGGCCTTGAAAGTTTGGAATATACCTTGGTTAAAACGGCCGTTTTACTAATGCCACCAAAGCAATATGGGTATCATTTTAAAGGGTTTGAATAGTGCATTAAAAATAAATATAGTATATCATTGTAAATTATATAATATTAACTAAAATTGAAAGAAAAAACATTTGGATTGCGTAGCCATGTATGCGCCTGTCCATAGGTGAAAGTCTTAAGCCCCGGCCGAAGGCCGGCTACTTAAAAAACCTTGAATTTGATTTGAAAATTGCTCTTAAAAAAGGCTTTGGATTGCGTAGCCATGTATGCGTCTGTCCATAGGTGAAAGTCTTAAGCCCCGGCCGAAGGCCGGCTACTTAAAAAACCTTGAATTTGATTTGAAAATTGCTCTTAAAAAAGGATTTGGATTGCGTAGTCATATATGCGCCTGTCCATAGGTGAAAGTCTTAAGCCCCGGCCGAAGGCCGGCTACATAAAAAACCATAAATTTGATTTGAAAATTGCTCTTAAAAAAGGATTTTGATTGCGTAGCCATGTATGCGCCTGTCCATAGGTGAAAGTCTTAAGACCCGGCCGAAGGCCGGCTACGTAAAAAAAACCTAAATTTGATTTGGAAATTGCTCTTAAAAAAGGATTTGGATTGCGTAGCCATGTATGCGTCTGCCCATAGGTGAAAGTCTTAAGCCCCGGCCGAAGGCCGGCTACTTAAAAAACCTTGAATTTGATTTGAAAATTGCTCTTAAAAAAGGATTTGGATTGCGTAGCCATGAGTGCGCCTGTCCATAGGTGAAAGTTTTAAGCCCCGGCCGAAGGCCGGCTACTTAAAAAAAACCTAAATTTGATTTGGAAATTGCTCTTAAAAAAGAATTTGGATTGCGTAGCCATGTATGCGTCTGTCCATAGGTGAAAGTCTTAAGACCCGGCCAAAGGCAGGCTACTTTAAAAACCTTGAATTTGATTTGAAAATTGCTCTTAAAAAAGGATTCGGATTGCGTAGCCATGTATGCGCCTGCCCATAGGTGAAAGGCTAAACCCCCGGCCGAAGGCCTGCTACTCAAAAAACCATTATTTTTATTTTGAAATTGTTCTTAAAAAGGATTTAGATTACGTAGCCATGTATGCGCCTGTACATAGTTGAATGTTTTAATCCCCGCCCGAAGGCCTGCTACTCAAAAAAACCCTAAATTTGATTTTGAAATTGCTCTTGAAAAAGGATTTGGATTGCGTAGCCTGTCCATAGGTGAAAGTCTTAAGCCCCGGCCGAAGGCCGGCTTCCTAAAAAGCCTTAAATTTTATTTGAAAATTGCTCTTAAAAAAGGATTTGGATTACGTAGCCATGTATGCGCATTCGTTGTAAGCTTTAAAATGATACCCATATTGCCTTTGTGGCATTACTAAAACGGCCGTTTTAATCAAGATATGCTCCGAAATTTCAAGGCCCATATCTCGGGAAGTATGCATTTCCCCCACATAAAATATATATCACTCTAATCAGCTCAACGAGGACTACTTACGGTAAAAATTTCAAAGCGATCCGAGTGGAGCCCCTAAACTAGACTTGTTCCGAAAATTTGTACTGTGGACGACGTGAAAAAGAAAATCAACACAATTCGTTCGTCCTACAGAAGGGAACTCCAAAAATAAAGCAGTCTGAAACTTCTGGAGCGGACAATAATTACCAGGCGAAGATTTGGTGGTTTGAGTCGTGCAAGTTTCTCCAGAGCTATTAGAAACCAACCGATAGCACATAAACACTGAGGAGTTGGTTCAGGGACTACGTCTGCAGTGGGCCAAGAACAAGAAACATGTCAACAATGGCTATCGCCTGGAGAAACAAATGCGCTACAGTCGTACCAAGAAAATGCCTTTGGAATTCACCGCTGCAGATCGTATCTACTTCGATGAGTCCATCAATTTGGCTGCCTGCATGAAGGAGAATTTCCAAGATGAACTTGAATCGTTGGACTTCAGAACCAAAGCCGAAGAGGAGCACATGGAAATCAACAACTGGATTGCAAATGTAATACGCAACGAAATCCCCGAAATGTTAAATCTCTGTGATGTTACCTCCGACAGTCAAATGGTTTTGGCTAATGCTGCCTATTTCAAGGTTCAATGGTCGGATAAATTCGATTCCAGAGATATAAAACAGGAGATTTTCTATACCAACCCTTGCCAATATTCTTTCGTACCCATGAGGCATAAACGTGGAGAATTTGGAATTGGTACCGATTCTACGCAAATTGGGCATCAACAATCTGTTCTAGCATACCGCCAACTTGAGTGGCTTCTCCACGGAAACAAGCCTGATGTTTGGTGATGCCAAACATGTTGCCAAAATCAAGGTTGATGATACTACGACGTTTGCCCTATTCTCTCTGTCTATTGTTTTATTTATAAAAAATGGGGACGTGTTTTATGTTCGTTTTTTTTATTTATAATATCAATACAAAGGAAGCCTAAAACGGCATATACATTAGAACTTTTTACCGGGTTAACCTACTTTATGAGGATTTATTTGACATATATGCAAAGGAATTGACAGTTGAAACCTACTGGGTTAACGAAATCCGGTTAAATGTAAACGTACTATAAGAGGCCTATTATACATGTATTGTGAGAAAAGATTCTATGCAATCAATAAGGAAATTCATAACTTAACTTAACCTAAAAGAAATTAAATCAAAATATAATATTTATAAGTGACTCCCCAGCTATATGAATATTGTATATAAATAATTTTTAATCATGGGATAACCCTATAGCAATCAGCCATTTATATGATTTATTTCATTGTAATGGGACTTTAGTTTTTGCTTAAATGTATGATAAGAGTATGAAAATAGTTTAAGACTGTTGGGAAGATAGTTCCAAATGCGATAGACTCTAACAAGATATGAATGTTCATAAATTGAAGAGTGAACCAAAGGAATATCGATTTGAATATTACGCGTAGAACGAATAAAAGAAAACGAATTTGATAACATTTCAGGTTTTTGGGTTTTCATAACTTTATAAAAGTGCAATATTATTCTTTGGCAAAGATAATCTCTAAAGCTTCTACCTAAAAATGCATAAGAGTACTCAATTGCACTAACGTGATCGTATATATACAAAGAGTACACATATCTTATAATTTTCCTGAATATTCTTTCTATTTTATCAATATTATATGACCAAGTTCCTAAATAAATTTCAATGCCGTAAATTAATGTCATCATAAAGGAAAAAGCCAGTCGAATCCTCACAAATCTGGGGGTATATGCTCTAAGGCTATAGAGTCTTCTCAATATAAGACAAATTTTGTTTGAGAGAGCATTGATATGACTGCTAAAATTAAGATTGGAGTCCAGTATAACTCCAAGACATTTCAGGGAATCAGTAAATTCAATTCGAACATTATTAACATACAGTGCAGGATAACTTATCTGACGATTTCTGGAATGGAAAAGTATACATTTTGTTCTTAACGGATTTATTTGAAGTTGATTGCGAACCATTAGATTATATATATTACATAGGTGGGAATTAATACTATATTCAGAAGAACCAGATTCAAATAATAGAAAAATGTCATCAGCAAAGACAAAGGGCTGGCAAATCTGACTTTTTAAAAGATTTATTATATCATTGATATAAGAAAGAAAAAGTATGGGTCCCAAAACTGAACCTTGTGGTACACCCGATGTCACACACCCAACACTAGAGCAGAATCCGTTTGTAGACACATATTGTCGCCGAGCAAATAAATAAGAGAAAATTAACTTCCACGCAGTTTTTGAAAAATTAAAATTATCGCGTAGCGTAGCTATTAAAATATTGTGGTTTATGCGATCAAAAGCTTTCGTTAAATCCAACGAAACCATTAAACAGCTTACATTATCATCCAACTTTTTTCTGATAGAGTCAGACAAAGTAATTAACGCAGATGTTGTGCTGTAGTTAGATCTAAAAGCAAATTGATGTGGGCTAAAATAATAAAATAATCGATAATGTTCCAATATTTGACTTTTCATAATATTTTCAAGAATTTTAGACATTGAAGGAAGTATAGTAATTGGTCTAAGATTGTCATGATCAAAACTGCGATCTTTAGGCACAGGAACAACACGTCCAAGTTTCCAATCAGACGGAAATTCAGAAGTAGTAAGAATTGTATTTATGAAATGTAATAAATACGCAGAAATTAGTGGAAAAATAATTTTTATAAATTTTATAGGAACTAAATCATGTCCAACAGATTCAGATTTAACAGCGTTAGTGTACATAATCAAGTCTGTATGTGATATAGTGTGAAAAGAAAAGGAATTCTCACTTTCAGCAAACGTTTCAAAGTTGAAAGAATAATCATCACTAGTATTCATATTGCTAAGAAATTTATGTGCAATAGCTTCAACATCAGCCTCTTCTAGCACCACACTTTCGTCTCCGATACAACCTAACGAACGAATTTTCTTCCACATCTGAGAGTTATTAACATTAGAAAAATGCTTACAGCCATATTCATAACGAGCTTTTCTGATGGTAGCCTTGGCTTTATTTCGTAAACGACAATATTCTTTCCAATTCTCCTCAGACGAATTTCGAAGAAATTGTCCGTATGCTTTATCTCTGGCTTTCCTTGCGTTTATTATACTTCCACAGTTCATCCAGGAGTTATTAATTAAGTTTGTTTTTATTCTTATAGTTGGAACACTGTTATGAAGGATGTTTATTGCACGATTTAATTCAGACAATTGTAAATCAACATTATTTGTGTGATAGATAGGCATTAAATCAATACCATCAAGCTGTTCAGACAAATCATCATATCTAAGGCGATTGTAATCTTTTATCACGGCACATCCATTATTCAAGGTTGGAGAAAATTGAATAGATATATAAATAAAACTGTGATGGGAAGAGAAGAAAGGAAGTTGTAATTGATTTTATGGGCAACAAAGCAACATAATAATCTAATAATGAAGTACTGTTATTTGGTATATGGAAATGTGTCGGTAAACAGTTATGTATAAGATGTAGTCCACATCTTGATGCAAGTGATCGGAAATTGTATGATTTGCTAGGATCAAAAAGATTGTAGTTAAAATCCCCCATAACAATTATGTTGGAATAACGATCAAAAATATTAGCATAATCAATTTCAAAATCTTCAACTGAACCATTAGGCAAATAAACAACGCCAACAACAATTGACGAGTCTTTTCCAAAAACCTCCACAAAAAATGATTCGCATTTGCCGTATTGTACACCACGGAAAATAACTTTAAAACGTAAAGCATTGGATATATAGAGACATACACCACCAGCTCTGTGAGGAAACATAGATTTATCATTACTGGCATTGCTATTTCGGTCATTTCTGATTAGTTTATAATTAGGTATCATTAACGAGCTTGTAAAAACATTGGGTTTAAACCACGTTTCAGAAATTCCAATTATATCCAATCCACAATCATGAAAAACATTCTTAAACTCTTCTAGTTTAGCATTAGAATATGATGGGCATAAGCTTTGAGCATTAATATGACCAATATTGATATTGTTAACAAAAGACAAAGATACGTTTTTAAGAATTTGGTTATCGCTTGCTATAGGGCCAAGGTTTGCATTATGGATCATTATATTTTATACAATATTCATATTTTAGGGGAGCCAAAAATTAAAACTAAAACATTTCTTGAAAAAGCAAAAAATTACCATTTTTATACAATGAAAACAATTTATTAATTTTTCCACCTGATTGAAAATAATTCAGAAAAAGTTATAAACAAGTAAATGAGATCATATATGTAATATTTGAAGTTAAATCAGATTTAAGGATTATTTTCAAAAAGATCCATACATTCTTTATAGTTGACTATCTTTACGTCCTTATTTGACAATAGAAGTTTAACTTTGAGACTTTCTCTATTCATAATACTAAAATTCGTTATTTTCTTTTCATTTCTTAAATTCATACAAAACTTTAAGAGTTTGATAGCCACGCGTGAATAGTTATCGTTTAAATACACTCTGTCATCACATGAACCTCCAATTATATCAGATACCTTTAATGATTTTGATTTATAATAAGCAGACATAAGGTGATCACGTTTGTCAATATTATTAAATTTAGTTAAAAATGAATGTCGAGCCTTAATATATAGGACAGTATGAATGTCTTCAGGAACAATGTCAACTTTTAAGAAAGCACAAAGAAAAGTGACAACATCTTTAAATTTTTCAATGTTTCCAGGTAAACCAGTTATAACGATATCGGATCTATTCAACTTATATTCAATCATATGATTTTGTAGCTCCAGCTGAAGAAACTTATTATTTTTGGAATTATCCTTTGTGACAACAAGCTCTCTGCAACGATGTACGTCATCTCGAATGTCTTGTCAAACTCGCTGATATTTCCGAACGAACCTCTTCCAATACAACCTCAAAGCTTTTCTTTATTTCTAGTTGTTCCTTCTTCACATCAAATCCAAGCATCCGAAGAGAATCGCTAAGAGCAGCAAATTGTTTTCTTACTTCAAGCTTAAACGCACCATCGGAATTGTCCGGAGGGTTCTCCATACAGCTTACACATGTATATGCCAGATTGCGATTTTTATCCAACATATTAAACACAGTTTTAGAGACATTTTCGCAGTCTGCATGAAACCATACATTACAGGCTCTGCATAGTAAGCTTCTGGTTCCAGTAGTTGAATCACTACAAATCCCACATGGATAACTCATTTTTAATGTATTAGACTTAAACGACTTTACTTTTTATTTCTTTAGATCTTATGTTCAGTTGAAAATACAACAGGTTGGCAATTTTAAATAAAGACGGCGTTAACTTCGAATGAGTGGCATTGCAAAAAGCACAGTATGGCACGGCCAAAAATGATTAATGTACCGCTTTGCAACAACAACAACAGCTTCAACTCGTACAAAGTACATGCAAAAAATTATTGCTTTATAATGCTTTAGTCTGAATTTAGATTGGGCGAGTTTTCTTGCGGCAAGTCTTTGTTTGAAGGAGAAAAAAATTGCTCGTACCGGCAATTTTCTAGCCATTTGTTTTGTGTATTTCGTATTTTAGTGTCAACTGTCAGTTATTTCTTGACATTACCTTTTAATTTCGAATTTCAGTGTGAGAAATATTAGAAACAACAATTTAAAAAATATATGTGCAAAACATATTAAGTAAATAATTAATAATAAATCATATAAAAAACTAAAAATCCCAATTAAGTGGTCAAGAGATGAAATATAAACGTTGATTGTTTGTGTGCAAGAAAATCCCTGTTTATACAACATCAAATCGGCCGAGTATTTGGACCGAAATTTAAAGGCACAAACATTCAACAATATTTTAGTTGAAATGCAGTCTTTTATAAAAAATATAACATTGGATGACATCAAACGAAAATGGAAAAATTTAAGGACCCAATATACACAGGAACTGCGTACTCAAAATTTAGAGTACGCAGTACTCAAATGTGGATCTGGTATATGCGATATTTACGTTCCAAAATTATGGTGTTTCCACCAATTGTCGTTCCTCGATATTCATGTACAATCTCGAGAAAGTGTGGATAACACGAAGGTAGTAAAAATGTAAATAATGAAAATTTGTGTTAATACCCAAAATCTTTTCTTTAGGTCGTGGAAGCAAATTCAGAAGATGAACCAAATTCAATTGTACCGGTGAGTTAACTTTGGTCTAACTGATATTAACTTTATTTGTGGCATATAGTTTCTAAATTAAGAACTGTAAGACTTCTTTTCAAAAATATATTGTTCGAATAGGGCATATTTTTAAACGACACCATTTACCTCATTATTTCTTATTTGTTTATATCTTCCACATTGCAGGACACTGAAATATTAAGCTATGTCGATGAGACAACAATGTCTACTTTTTGTGAGGAGAATAGTATCAACGAAGTTCCTCCAAGAAAAAAGGCTAAGACCATTAAATGAATTATTAAAAGAACTCTAATGCAATGTGTGTTTCATTATTTCATTTACATGTTTAATTTACATAATACAGAATTCTCGTCAAATTCATGAACTTCGAAGTGATCTGGATTGTTTTAAGAACCTAATTGCTAAAAAAAAAGAAAAAAATTTGACTGGTTGGGCAACCTGGTGGCTTCCCAAATGGAAGATATTGATCCTGATGATCAGGCTGACGCGGCTTGGAAAGTACAATGTCTTATGCGGGATCTTTTAAGTCAGGCTGCTAGTAAGAAAAAAAGCAAACTAGTCCTTCTGCCGGGAATGATATTTTGGAATTGTCAATGGAGGGAGTTTATACCGAAGATGATTTCCTGGAATAATTCTAACATTATGCCATTTACATTAATATGTAAGGACTTGTACGATATGGCGTCGTCTGAAGCACACAGAATACAATTAAATCGCCATTACTAGCAAAACAAATTATCTGTACTATTTACAACCTACACATCTATGTTGTCAGGATATTATAGCTTTTGCAGCCCCAAGAGTTTGTAACGCCGCGAAATATTGGTTCTAGACCAACCTTTAAGAATACCGACCGTCATATCCATTATAATTTGTAAACACGATACAGGTCACAGTTATGGACCAACGAACGATTTGCATGTAGGATGGGTTCTGGCCAATGAAGACCCCTATTGTTTTTGTATTGTAAAGATCGGTTAATATTTAGGGGATGAAAAGGACCAAATACTTAATTTTTGTCGGTTTTTCTGGTCGCTCCAGAGGCCACAATTATGGCCCAAACATCGCGATTTTTAACACTGAGAAGGGGATTGGGCCAAAGAATAACCATGGCTGTTTTGATAAAGATCGATTAATATTTAGCGGGTCAAATGGACCCTGACTTTTGTGTGAAAAATTACAAAATTTGTATTCTATAAGGCCATAGAAGGCCATAGACCCGAGAAGTTGATAGTAATCCAAGAGGAGTGGTTGGTATTTAAATTGATACCAATTATATTGTCGTATGTACTCGGTGTGGGAGTTACACTTAAACATTTACAGATACTTATCGTTAGCTAAAATGCAAAAAGGCGTAACTAACAAAAAAATTTAAAATTGACTTTTTGAATTAATATTGTGAATGTCAATAAACCACATGTGTTGACAAAGTTTTACACGTCTGCGGTCAAAAAAGAGCTTCTATTAACAAAAAACAAAAAGACGTAACTACAAGTTGGGTTTATTTGATAAATGCAAAAAGGCATAACTAACAAAAAATTCACGTTTTTACTTAATTGTTATGACTGCCATTAAACTAAATAACTAAATTTGTTAAAAAAATATAGTCTATAATTCGTCATATGCAATATCACCCTGCAGGGCATACTTTTTCATTTCACATGACATGTTTATAGTTTTCATTGAAAACAGTTTTTTGCTTCTTCTACACAATTATGCTTTTGTTAGTTACGCCTTTTTGCATTTTAGCTGACGTTATGTATTCATATATTATTTATTAACCCATTGCCACACTAGAGGGCCAGGTATGGTCAAGGACAAAGCCTATAATTTTCGGTGATGATCAGATAATAATATTGGGATGAAGTGAATCAAAAACTTAATTTGATGTGTTTTTTTCGAGTTGATCTATAGGCCACAGTTGAAAGCAGAACATCACAATACAACCCACGGTGTTCGAAATCTGGGCAAGTAATTAGAAGTACTGAATGTTAGTAATATTTGTTGACCTCTAGTCTTCAAGATAGTGCAAATACCGCGAATAACTGCCCAGGTTCAGAACCGTAGAAAGTTAGATTTTAGTGGTAGTTGTGTAGGGTATCATATGGTCGGCTCCGTCCGACTGCTCCGCCCACTGCTTTTCATTTGAATTGAATATTAAATACGACATGTATTTCAATTACGAAAATATCTGAATAGTAGGGAGGATACATTATAAGACGTAAACATACACCTCAAAAAAAATCAATTTTTACTTGTTTTAATTAATTATTGTAATTATTTTTGCTTTTATTTCAGATTAACAAAGAAAACAAACAATCAAAATTTTGATATTTATTTATTTATATATATTTCAAAATATTTGTAAATTAGATTTTATTATAAAAAAATAAATGAATGTAATTAATTCATTTAACTTCTATCCAATCTAGTTTCCCTTCATTATTAAAGTATGCCATAAATTCTTGTCGAATTATTTCAGCGTTTCCCTTTCGGGGATTATATGTGGAATCCACTCCACCTTCATTGACTACAGGAGTAAAATACTGATAGGTGTTGATATATGTCTCGTCACGTTCTAGCAAAAAGTTGTGTAAAGCACAACAAACAAATGTTATAGTTTGCACAGTCTCAACTCGTAAGTTCATTGGGGATAAAAAAAACTCGGAATCTATTTGCAAGAATTCCAAAAGCATGCTCTACAACATGTCTTGCTCGAGAGAGTCTTGCATTGAATGTTTGTTTTTGCCTGCAGTTCGTGTGGTATGGATATGGTTTCAATAAATGTGTTTGCATCGGAAATGCATCGTCTCCCACTACCACATATTGCAATTGGCATCAACTAGGGCCATCAAAATAATGCTGTTTGTCCCTTTATAGTTGTGGTAGAATGCACCATCTTTTCGTAGTGGTCTAAAGGTGATATGCTTTCCGTCTATTGCACCTAGGCAGTTTGGGAATTGCCATTTTATGGCAAATTCTTTTGCAATGGATTCCCATTCAAAAAGGCAATTGGGAAACTGTGTGGAATAAAAAAACTATAAAAATATATTTTTCAAAAATTTTTCAAAAAAAAAAAAAAAAAATTTTCAAAAAACGTGGCTTTCTTGCATAAACTAGTCAAACCTAAATTTTAAGAAGAATAATGTTAAATTATATTTATAATATATATTTTTGCAAACCTATTAGTATATCGTCTTTGTCACTGCCGTCTAAGTCAATCGCTTCACCAATGCAATCTACAATATTTTCGATGATGGTATTTCTGTCTGCTCTATTCATAATTCTATTTATATTTGTTTTTAATCTTATTTTGTTCAATTTTTTCCACAAAATTAAAAAAAAAACTTTCACAAAATGTCAAAACAGAAAAACAAAACAAATATTTTTGAAATGGAATTGCCTTGTATAGACGCATAAAGCAAGTTTAAAAGAGAGCGATAAAAATTGCCGCAAGTAAACTCGCCTAATATAAATCAGGACTTACAATGCCTGCCAACAGTAAATTCCATATATTTGGCTTAACAAATGTTCCAATATATGACTTTATAACCACACTACATGCACTCCTATTTTTTTTTAGCTTAATATTTAACTTTCAATCAGGAGGGATTTTAATGTACTTGTGGTCCAAAATGGGTATTTCTAAAAACTCCTCCATCACTGATGCTACCGAAGTTCCCAACATCAATTAATGTAAAGCAGCAATTTACATCACATGTTGCCATTAAAACCTTAAAGTGCAAATCATATAGTACTACAGGTATTATTTATATAGTAAGTAATGTTTACTTACGATGCTGTTATATTTTTTGTAATTATAAAATTGAGAACCAGCGTTTGGCGGACAAGTAATTCGAATGTGTTTGTCATCTATTGCCCCCACACAATTTGGTAACACACACAGGCTTTGAAATCCCTCAGCTATATCACACCAATCTTTTTGAGATGGCGGTGGAATATAAAATTCTTTTAAGATTTCCCATAACTTTTCACTGGATTCCTATATAACGCATATTGCTGTCTCAAGCCCAATGCGAAACTTCATTGATATTGTATGAAGGCTGCATCCATGTGCTAATTAGCTAAATATATATATATATATATATGTTTTCACTTACTATAGTGTAATATAAAGCCGATTTTCTGGTTCTATGGGCTTTCTGTAGTTCGAATTTTTTCCCAGCGAAAACCCTACGAGAATATATAAGGCCCTAAAACTTTCTTTCGACATTCGAATAGATCATCATCCTCCGCTTTTAAAATGTTTACACCCGTGGAAAAAACCATATTTGTCTCTGGTTTTGAACAATTTCTTGTTGCATCTGCGATAGGATGATCTATTGATTAATTCATGCAACAATAATATATTTTCCATGTCTTCCAAAATATTTCTTGCCATTTCACAAATTCAATTTCTTTATTTTTTAAATTGTTGACAATATTTGAATTAACGTATTTGGTTAATACGTACGTACAAATGACTTTTACATGCGTATAAAGGTGAGTATTTTTGTACGGAGCGCAATAAATTAGGTACGACCCTAAAAGGCACAAAGCACTATGCATTGGAATTTAGCAAAGATGATTCAATCCAATTAAATGGATCTACCGATGCTGATTGGGCTGGTGACGTGGACGATAGAAAGTCAAACACTGGTTATGTTTTCAAATTCCAAAACGGGCCAATATCCTGGAACTCAAAGAAGCAACAAACCACAGCACTTTCTACCACCGAAGCCGAGTACAGGGCATTATCGACTTCAGCACAAGAAGCTATATGGTTGAAATCACTTCTCACAGAGCTTAATGAATTTCAATCTATTGAAATCAAATGTGACAACAAGAGTGCAATTTATCTTTCTCGAAATAGCAAGTTTCATGCTCGATCTAAACACATCTACATTCGCCACCACTTTATTAGAGAATAAATCGAAGAAGATCAAATAAAGATATCCTATATAAAAACAGGAGATATGGTAGCATGACTAAAGCATATCCACTGCTGCAATTTACTTGGTATCAAAGACCAGTCTAGTGGGGGTGTTGAGATTGAAGATTGTACTTTGATAAAATAAACCTTAGTCTTATTTATTGTAGAATGCTTTGATATAATATTTGTCATACATAAGTTTTGTATGTATATACAGAAAATAAAATTTTCATTCGTTTGCTTGTTTTCAATATTAAAACACGTCTTTTAACACAGTATGGGGTAAAATATATTCCGACTACACCAAAAAACTTGTGTATCAATGCCCGAACGATTGAAT